TAGTGTATTGTTTTTTAAGAAATTTTCAATTGATTAATTAAATGTTCATATAAGATTGCACAACTTGTACGTAATACGTATACTTCAGTCCGGTAAATTTCCATATTTGGTATTTCTAAATTAGAGGATGATCCTCATTTTGAAATGTTCTAGAAAATTTTTAATCATATGTAATCGACCCAATCATCGCTAACCTTATAAATATCGATTTTTAACTTAGATTTAACAGCTTTATAATGCAGAACTGTACTGTACAAAAGATAAGTTTTCGATTTTTTATTTTTTTTAAATTAAATAATAGAAATATTTATTACTCTTTTTATTACAGTATTAGCCAGATGCTCTTATTATACGTTGAAATCATTAGGTATAAGGCGACAAAATTGTTAGTCTGATCAGGCTAGGTGGTGTTCTGAACAAGCTTTGTGTCGTCAGAAACAATATTCTCAAACCTAATTACATCACAGGATTCGAGAACACTAAAACAAACGATCTTACAGTATCAATTGAAATTTTAAGGTTGGCTACATGATCACGAATTAGATCCATGACTGTTTTACAACATATGGACAAAGTACACTTTTGAAATAGAGCACAAAATTTCAATCAGTATCATTATTTATTAAAATAGTTTATTTAATTTTCTGTTTCTGATTCTGATTCATCCTCAGGTTCTTCCTGATTATCTTGCAGGTCTCTAATACTTTGTAAGATCTCTCGCAATTGATTACAATTTTTCTGCAGTAAACCACGATACTTGGAGCGACCTGAAATATTAATAGAAGCTAGTAATAAATTTATAGTTGCCAAAAGTTCTGCTTTTGACATCTTTTCTTCACTCATAGCTGCCTCTTCCTCTTGTTCAGTAACTAATATTGGCCGTGGTAAGCTTGGCTTGTTATTTTCAAAGATTTTCTTAATAAATGCTATTTGCCTTTCACATGCCAAATCACCAAACTTTTTTAATTGTTTACTAAGCAAATATTCTCTTTCAAGACTCTCAAATCTGTGATTATCATTTTGAGGATTTAAAAATCTGGTTTTCCTCAACTGAACTCTAAATCGCTATGATTCTGAAGTATAGTCTGAACGTGTCTGGCCTCCTGAAGATTCATTTTCTGTATGTCCAATCATGTCAAATAATATGTAACACAGCTAATTTATTGTTTATGATAAGTATTTATGTATAAAATTTTGATTTTAATTTCTCAAAAATTAATTTACTAACCTTTATAAATTTTGTGCAGTTTCAAGCTGCTATATTCTAATATTGCTGTGAGGGTACAGGCAGAATTAAGGCCTTTAAATATTTATTAATTTCCTCAAGAATAGCATCAAGGTCTTGATGTTGATTACAATAGCCTGACCGTGAAATAGAGTATAATTCTATAATCTTTCTAATTTCAGGATATAATCGTAATAATTGCTCTTCATAATCAATCTCAATATAGCGATATATAGAGTGTCTATGACCGGACCAAATTGAAGCAAATATACGTCTAGCAGCATTTCTTAATGATGGTCTATTATTCCTCACTTCTGTACGAAAGTTGACTATTGCCTGAAGATAGACAAACGTCTATAATATTATTTAATTATTTAGTTATGAATTTTTAAATTACAATAATTCTGTAATTTGAATTAAAGTTTTACCTGTTCAAATTTTAATTTATAAATGCAATCATCTTGTTTTTTTGCCCAATCTAAATAGTCGTCGACCGAGAGGTTTTCAGCTTCAACCACATATAGCCATAGCAATTCACACGTCATAGCATGTCTGTATATATCGCAAATTGAGTCCCACGATTTATGATGGTCTGTATATTTTTTAAAAAACCCGAGCTGATTTTTTGTTCTATATCCTTGACGAATAGCAAATTGTTTGATATCGATAGCCCTAAACGAGAATATTTAGATTAGAGAGAATATAAAAAAAAAAATAATAATATGACAATAATAAAAACCAATTTAGTTCTACAAATGCTTTAAGCATGTTCATTTTTTCGTGTAGGGCTCCAGAAATTAGGATTAACCAAGGAAAATCCTTTTTTATTTTTTGAGCAAGATTATAAGGAACTCCATCACAAATAACAGATAACCATTTTCACCCATCGTTGTTTATTTTGTGATGTTTTGTATATGCTCTAAAACTTTTTTAACATTGTTTATTGAATTAGGGTTTAGTCCTAATGGGTCCAGCATATACATTTTTGGAACAACGACATTTTGATCAGGTTCAAGTTTTTGTGTAATGCTAATATGTTCAAAGGGTAAAGTTTTTTGTTTGTAAGTAAAGGTATTAGATTTTATTATGATAGGTTTTAATTGAGAGGTCGTATTACTAATTTGAGTAGACTTATTAGTTGATTCTGCTTGTAATGCAGCTAATGTATCCAACTTTTCATTGCAGTTAGAACAAGTACGTTTTCTATTATCGATGTTTGTTGTATTATACTTTTTACACCATTTTGAGTGACTGCCAACGCCTTTTTGATTTTTTATTATTGTGTCAATTGTATTTGATTCGTTTCTTTTTTCATTAATGAGTTCGTTTAAAATTGGCAACAAATATGCATTTAATTCCGATTCACATTCTGTTCTCATTTCTGGTATAAGATAATATAATTCTTTATATTGAAGGTCATTTAATAAATTATAACGCCACAGATTTGTTGTAAATTGAACCAAATTTTTTTTATCTATATTAAATGCAACAAAACTTGTAACTGTATAATAAATTACAGTATTATACACTTGATCAAGATAATTATATTGGCCCCGTTGTTTGTTATCGAAGGCTAGAAATAAAAGTTCTTCGGGCATAGGTTCTTGTTCAATTGCAAGGGACTCTAACCAGTTAATAAATTTTATATAACTTCCAGAACTAATAACATGATTGTCAATATCGATAATCATTTTGGACCATGCCAATAAGTACTTAATTGCTGATAGGGTTAGATTTATTTCAGAGACATAGTTTTTATGTCTTGATCCATAAATTGCATCAACCACAACTACTTTTTTGAAGAGCTTTTTTTTTATAGTAGAATCATTATTACTACTTTCATTATTACGGGTGAGAACTTCAATAAAGTTAACGATAACTGGGTTACGATTAGCTAACCAATTATTTGGTGTAAAATTTAACAAATTATTAAGAGAAAATCGATCTTTATTTAAAATTAATGAATCAATATCATTATAAACATTTTGACGTTCTTTATTTACAATTTGAACAATAGAATCAATCCTTTTTTTCTTGATTACTAAATCGATTTTCCCACTTAAATAATAAATCATTATTTTGTTTAATCAACTCCTGACTTAAT